ATAACCATGTTGTTACATGGTTCCAATCTCATGTTTATCATGTTTGCACTATTATCATAACTTCGTCATTCATTCACGTCCCTAATACCAAATTTGATATAAGTGAAGCACATTTCCGATGGAGGCGGAAATGTTGTAGGCCCGTGTACTCAGATTTGTGTGCACGTTAAACAACCCCAGGTGGTCAAAATTTCCGGAGCCCTCCACTACGGCGTCTCTCATAATCAAATGGTGGTTTTGGGACGTTAAACCCCACAAATCAATCAAATATAAGTGAAGCTGGCAAAATGGCCGCCAGCGCATCATGAGCGTGGCATGTAGTGGTGTTGTTTTATGACACGAATTATTTGGTTATCAGGTTTGCAGCACTCACATACCTTTGTCAACCATTCGCGTATCGTAATACCAAATTTGGTTTATGTGACGCTAGCGAAACGGCCCCGAGCGCATCATGAGCGTGGCATATAGTCAGGTTGTTACATGACACGCATGTTAAGATTTTGATGTTAAGGTCTGTCGCTTGTGTTCGCCATGCCATAATGTCATACCATATCAATTTTGCAAGATGCCATGTGAAATAAACCACCCGAAGAACTGCAGGACCGTAAATGTAAATCTTGACATTTATGACATACAATCATGATTTTTTGTCATGACTAGTCAAATATGTTTTTCATAGAGTTATGTACTGGCATACTAAGTTTGGTATCGATACCATTATCAAAACGCCCAGGAGAGCTAAAGGTCGCAGGCGGTAGATAAATAGATAGACAGATAGATAAATAGATAGATTGATTGATAGATAGTTAGATAACCAGATAGATAGACAGATAGATAGATAGATAGATGGACAGATAGATAGATAGATAGATAGATAGATAGATAGATAGATAGATAGATAGATAGATAGATAGATAGATAGATAGATAGATAGATAGATAGATAGATAGATAGATAGATAGATAGATAGATAGATAGATAGTGCCCCGAACTGTTGGCCACCGCTAAACAAGCGCTGCCAGTCTACGCTGCGCGCGCCTTCTATCTTAGCTCCCTCTTCGCCTTCCCTTACCTTTCGTTCTTATAAAAACCCAAGCCGGACAATAAACGCTCTCTTTTTGCCCTGGCCACTCTGTTCGTGCATTTCGGGGCGCGGCCCAGCCGCGGGGCCGGTTGTAACAGTGGCGACGAGTATTTCAACAAAGAACGAGACCCAGCTGCTTCCTGAAGGCGGGCAAGCAGCCACCCCATCGACAGGCATGAGTCACTGCCTCCCGGAATTCAACGACGACACAGATAAGTGGCAAGCGTACCTCATGAAGGTTGAGGCATATTTTCAAGCAAACGAAGTCCCTGACGATGCTAGGAAAAGAGCCCTGTTGGTAGCCGCACTTGAGTAGCGAACGATTGATGTGCTATGCGGTAGAGTGGCACCGCAGAAGCCAAACGCACTCGGCTACGATGCGGTAGTGAAAGATCTAAGCGAGTATTATGACCCACGACCAAACGAAATTTCAGAAAGCTTCAAGTTTTTCCACCGAAACCAGCAGGAAAGAGAGTCTGTTCACGCGTTCATTGTGGAAATACGGCGCATAACTGCAACTTCTCGTCCATGCTGGATAGGATGTTAAGGAACCGTATCGTGTGCGGGGTACGTTCAAGACATTTGCCAAAGCAGCTGCTCGCGAAACCTGAGTTGACGTTACAAGAAGCAGAGGCACTTGCGTTGGCGGCAGAAAGTGCAGAGTTAGATGCGGAGAACATAAATCGAGAAACGCCCCCGGTAACAGTGTCGGCAATGAAGAAGCAACGCTGGGTGCCGCGAGGCCAGAAGAAAAACGAAGGCGGAAAGCCATGTGAGGGCTGCGGAAAGCGTAATCATAAGCGCGCGACCTGTGCAATGCGTGGGAGGCACTGTTACAAATGTGGAAAACAAGGGCACTTGGCACGCATGTGCCAAAGAATTGACAACGCGTTGAATGTAACAGCCCAAGCCAACGACAGTGATAGCAGCGCGTCGCAACTTTGGTCCGTAACTTCGAAGAATTCATCGGTGCCACCGATTCAGGAAACGTTCACGTGGAACGGCGTAAAGCTGAAGGTGGACGTTGACACCGGCTCGCCCGTATGCGTCTTTCCTAGAGCAACCTACAAAGCCCACCGTCCTCAATGGCCGAAGTTGCGGGAGCCGAAGATAAAGCTGGCGTGCTATTTGGGGAAGCTACCCGTACTCGGAGTACTGTCAATGCGGGTATGCCACAAATCGGCGGAGGTTGATTGTAACCTAATCGTCTTGAACTGCGAAGGTCCTCTCCTGTGCGGTCGTGATTTGCTGCAGAAACTACAAGAGCAGGGCGCAGCAGTACTTCACGTAGCTGCGCCACCACTCGGGGAGTCTCCGCCCACGCCTGCTGTGTTGGACCGCCACTCCGACCTGTGCACGGAGGGCGTAGGACTCATGAAAGGCCCACCGGTGCACCTTCACATCAAGCCTGGAGTGATGCCAAAGTTGTTCAAGGCAAGAAAGGTACCCTACGCTCTGTTGGATAACGTTTCAGAGGCATTAGATCGACTTGTGGCAGCTGGCATTATATCACCACTGACGCACTCGGAATGGCTGCGCCCATTGTTCCAGTCTTAAAGAAAGACGGCACAGTTCACATTTGTGGTGACTTCAAGATTACTTTGAACTTAGTTTACGAGCTGGAACAATACCCGCTGCCTCTTATTGAGGATATTTTTGCGCGATTAGGTGGTGGGTAGCGGTTCAGCATTTTGGATTTGCGCGACGCCTACAACCAGATCTCGCTAGAGGAAGAGTCTCGCAAATTGGCCGTGATAAACACCCACAAGGGCCTCTTTTGCTTAAACCGCCTCCCATTTGGGATGGCTTCGGCACCGGCGATATTTCAGAGGCGGATTGAATCAATCCTACAGGGCTCGCCTGGGGTGCAAGTGTACCTGGATGACGTGTTGATAGCGGAAGAGGGTTACAGCCAAAACCGCAATCTGATGGCTGTGCTCGAGCGCTTCCGTGAACATGGCATTAAGCTTCGTGCTGATAAGTGCCGCGTTAGCGAGCCCTCTGTTACATATCTAGGTCACCGTATTGACGCGAACGGACTGCATCCCATAGAAAAGAACGTGAATGCTATCAGGCTAGCCCCCTCTTCACAGAACGTCTGCAAGCTACGCTCATTTCTGGGCATGGTAAACTTTTATAACAAGTTTATGCCCGACTTGTCTACCATTCTAGCACCGTTGTACAAACTGCTGAAAAGGGCGCGAAGTGGACGTGTAGCACCAAAGAAAAGAAAGCCTTTGTCCAGGTGAAAAATGCGTTGTGCGCGGCAACCGTACTCACTCATTTTGAGCCGAACCATGAGCTCTTCTTGGAGTGTGATGCGTCCCCATACGGAGTTGGTGCTGCACTTTTTCATCACACCGAAGGCGAGAAGCGACCCGTAGGCTTTCGATCGAGAACGCTGACAACTGCCGAAAGAAAGTACTCTCAGATCGAGCGCGAGGCGTTAGCCTTGATATTTGGTGTTACTAGGTTTAGGGACTACCTGTTTGGACGAGAGTTCACTCTGGTTACGGATCACCAGCCGTTGCTGGGCCTGTTAAGGCACGACCGTCAGACCCCCGTCATGGCGGCAGCCAGAATACAAAGATGGGCACTACTACTCGGTGCATACAAGTATAAACTGCAGTTCAAGTCTGGAAAATTTATGCTCAACGTGGATGCATTAAGCCGGTTACCCCAATCTCTTGAACAGGAGCTGCAGGACGACGAGGATGCGGCTGAGTACGTCCTCGTCGTGGCTGAGTACGTCCTCGCCGCCAGATAAGCCAGGACCCTCCAGTACAAGACTGCGAAGCTACAACGGCTACTAGCCCCGGTATTCCGGGCCACCCGCTCCCAGAGCTAAGACGTTCCACACGTATCAAGAAGCCAGTGGAGCGTTATGGATTCTAAGGAAGAAGGAATGCCACGAACTGTTGGCCACCGCTAAACAAGCGCTGCCAGTCTACGTTGCGCGCGCCTTCTATCTTATCTCCCTCTTCTCGTTCCCTTACCTTTCGTTCTTATAAAAACCCAAGCCGGACAATAAACGCTCTCTTTTTGCCCTGGCCACTCTGTTCGTGCATTTCGGGGCGCGGCCCAGCCGCGGGGCCGGTTGTAACAGATAGATAGATAGATAGATAGATAGATAGATAGATAGATAGATAGATAGATAGATACGCTCAAAGTCACCGAACTTCGCTAAGAGATGCTCCGCATTCAAAAGTTGGACGCTGTCAGTTGGGCAGTTCTTTCCTTTATACACTCCGGTTTCTCAGCTTGACTAAATGTTCTCTTGCATATTCCCGCTGCTTCTGCTGGCGACAGCACTGCCTGCTGTTGCACATATGAATGTAACCTTTCTATGCATCTTTCAGAGTGCAAGTTTTTTTTCTGTCTTGCAGGGCGCTTTCATTGTGAAGGAGTGGCGGAGATTCTGTGCTGTATCTAAAAAATAATATATTTAGCACAGTCTTTTTGATATCAGACAAAAACTGTCAGTCTGCGTCTGCTCCATTCAGTGGAAGTGCGTGTTAAAGGCGACGCTTCACCTTGCACTAAACACTATTTATTACATTTTTCGTGAAATTTATATCAGAAATGGGTGTTACAGGCAAACGGTTCTTTCCTGGAAGTAAATGAAAAATGTGTTGCTTTTAGAGTTCAAGCATTTTATGGTGAAGTCAAAACTGCAGTCAATGAACACAGTGAAACAAAATGAACAGCCACACGAGTATAGCTTTTTTTTAATATTTACTCCAACCACCTTAGTTTCCATTGATTTTCTCAAAGCGTCAACATCCTATATTGTGGTTGAGGCATCATGACTGTCCATGTGCAATGTAAAGTATCATTATAGAATAAAAAACAATATACGCTGGATTCATTTTATAAACAATGCGCATACATGGGAAAGATATACTAAAGCCTGAACTGCGCTGCTCTCACAATTTTTTATTTATAGGCCGAAATGACCCAGTTACAAAACGCAGCTTTATGCAACGTGCTCTGTCGTATGGGTTATGTCTGTTTAATTTGCATCGTGAGCTGGACATCCTACATGCACATTTTTTTCTGAAAGATTCGCAGCAATAACGTATCAAGCCTCCAAAATTGTTCAGCAGCTGCACAAATACGGGCAGCAGCTGAACCTCTTTGAGCATAATATCCAGCACACTCATAGTGATAACTTGTACTCTTCAGTGTTTGTCAAAATATATTTTCATTGTAGCTTGCGATGACAAGGAGTTAACTTGGCTCGGTGCCATCCATTTCCCCGGCATATCAGTTCAGGAGGGTGACTTTACATTGATGAGGGCAAACATCAAGGTATCAACATGGTGGCACCTCTCGCTCAGCCTGCAAAAAGAGTTATACTTGAATCCACACACTTTGCATTCACGACTTAGGGAAACTGTCTAACAAGCACAAAGAATTTTTGGTTCAGAACTGGATTTATTTTTCACGTGATCAGTGAGAGGAAGTCCTCATTCAAATGGTAGCGCTATCATATTCTGACCTTTTTCACCACCTCACGACTGCTTCCTGCACTTGGAAGGCATGCTAAAGCAATCGAAGCACGATACATAGCAAAAAAAAACACTGTTATACCTAGCAATTGAAGATTAGCAGGTATTTGTCATTTCTTTCTCCGCTTTCCGTGAGATCGACGACCCTCATAAAAGCACTTCGTTGTTAAGGTGTCGGCGGTCGCAGAGTGTTACTAAATGTCGGTACTATCGAATTATCGCTAAAGGCTTCCCAATGATGTTGCAAGAAACGTTAGCGTTCACTTCAGAATGTGCTTCATTAAGAATCGCCACTGAACATCTGCAAAACTTAAGATACTGAACGCCCTCACAGTAAGTAGCACGAACGTTCACCGAAACAGGCCCCTTAAACACTGACGAAGAGTTACAGCTGAGCAGATATTGAAATAAGTGGTCAATTTACTGGACGGTGCTTTGCCGCACATACTTCACATGACAGAACCGGCTACTCACCCAGCAATGGAGTCGCAGTATTCTTTCAAGAAGTGCGAATCAGCTCCTGCTTCGCAACGATCTGTTGGTAGTGTCCGGACTTCATAGGATATAAGCATATGCTGCGTATGAAAAACAACTTGCAGCTGCAGGGGTGATGGTGTACTTTGAATGCAATGGGGCGTATGTACCGCTCTTCTTTAGAGGCACACTCTTTCTTTTTCTGATAAAGCAAGCTACTGAAGAGGTCATCCGTGGCACGTTTGGCGAGACAGGTCACATAAGTTGGGTTGGTCGTCCATGACTCTCCGTAGTCATAGCGCCACCACAACTCGTCCAGCAAAAACATATGGTGCATAGACTGCCAGTAAAATTTCCATATATTATACAACAATAATAAACATAAATAATGCAACAAAGAGCGCGCACACAGCGCAAGCTGTCGAGGTAGCCGAAGGGTTTCACAAGGCGCGACGAGAAGGGCGACACCTGCCGTTGCAGGCGGCGAGTGTACACATAAATGCAACAATAGCTTTTGTGATTTGTAACCAGCCTGCCCTCGTAAAACACGAAGGCAACGAACAACCAGTTTTGTTTTTTGTCTGCTCCCGCTGAAAGCACTGTTGTGACTGGGAAAAGAGCTAGTCAGAAAAAATCTTTTCATTTTTTTAGAGGCTGGTGTCACACACGTGACTACCTCGCTATAAATAAAATGCTCATAGCATACACTCATCTATACAAAGGCCTGTTCCGAGAAATCGTGTGACCACGCCGCGCTAGTATGTTCCCTTAACAACACTTGGTTGATGTTTTGCTACTTAAAACCAAAGCGCATTCACATACGCGAATGCATTCTTTTTCACACACGTAGGAAGATATTGATACCTTGAAAAAAAAAATTATCCCACGCTATATGTTCCCCAGAGCCACTGAGGCTGCTGACTCTTTTGTGAGAGACAGTTCTTTTGCAATAACTTCGACTGCTACTAGTTAAGAGGCCAGCGAGTGCGTGTGCAGGAAGTGAACTTTCCGCGTAAGAACGCAGAATAGCAGAGGCACAACAGTGGCAACGATATCATATTTACCCGACCTCTAAAGTAACTTTAATACTTTCAAGCCTCCTATAAGGTAATAGGAAAGTACTGTCAATTTTTTTAGAAAACGTACTGTAACAGTAACACTTTGCTCGTCGTGGATTAGATAAAAAAAGTCGACGATCGGATCCACTTAGAATTTCAAAGGATTGCTGTTTAGAAGATAATCAAAAATTATCATACATTGAAACTTGAACTGTCTTCTAACACATGTCACCAGCATAGGGCAGAGACAAAAAATAGGCAACCCTTAAGTTTCGTTTTGAAGAGTTCAACGCAATAGCGAAATCCGGCCTCTAGTGCGTCCTTCAACGACTAAGTGCATACTTATTAATATATTTGTTACATACACATGCAAGCAAGCGCCCGCAAACGCGACGTATCTATAGTAAAGCAGTGACTGTGCAGTGTGGCCACTTCCCTCTGCTAGAACGGCGCTCTTCTGTAGTTGAGACACGTTTTTCACAATGTCTCGCAGATGACACACACCCACGCACACACGCAAACACACACAAACACACACGCGCGCGCATGAATGGTACATACAGGTTTTTGATATAAAGCAAGAGTCGCATGACCTTCAAGATACACGCCGCACGCTCGCCATCTTGTAGCTTAAAAAGAGTCTCATAATACTTTGTAGATGACAGAGCAATAGCTAGTGTTTGCTGATTGCTTGATCAACGACTCGGGAAGGGCATGCTATATTTTCGGATAGATGGACATAGTCGACCATTTTTATAGCTGTAATAATGTTTCTGTGGGTTTCTTTAGCGGCAATGGCTGCACTATCCCGGCCTTTTTAGGCGTAGTTTGATGGCCTCTCAAACATGCCCACAAATCACCGAATCGGCTCGTTTTCTTTGGGATACCTGTCGAAGAATGTGCAAGTGCAAGAAAGTGAAAGACTTCTTTCACTACAAGGCATTTGTGTAATGTTTTTCCCCTCCTAGTGGCTGCAAGTAATATTGTAACTTTGCGTTAGGACTCTTGCTTGACCCGCAAGCGGCCCGGGTTCTATCTTGAATGGGGCCGAAAACTGTATTCCTAATTTTATTTACTTTTTTCTGAATATTTCTCTCATGGACGAATTTTCGCTCACAACCAACGGTGCCGACGCTGATGGTGGAATTTCTGCAACACGAGCTTAATAACGCTATCGCGTTAAAAATTAATATTTTGTGATACCCGCCCTATGCTTCCATTGTGGGTTTTTCTCATTTCCGTTTATTTTTTATCCCTCTCTCCTCCCATTCTTGTGTAGTCTGTAAGGGCGTTTAAGTTTTGCGATCTGAGGTGGTTTCAGTTCGTAAGGCGATAACCATAGATGCCTCATTGAACATGAAATTTAAGATCAGCATGAGCTCGAGCGATTAAAAAATCTACATAATCTAAGATGTTACCTCAGGTTGTCATCATGGCTTCACAGATTACAAAAAATATGAGACGATGTTATGACGTGACTTCATCACAGTAAATTGTCGTTTGGTCATAGCTTAAGGGAACCCGTGGGCAAGTGAGGTGCAGAGAGGTGGCTACGTTTCTGATCACTGAGGCCATGCAAAACCACTGAGGTGCAGAACATTGAGGAGCAGAATTCTTTCTAGGCAGGGTACATGAAAACAATCGAAAGCGAGGACGAAGAACAAAAAAATAGTGTTCGAAATCTTGTCATCTTACAAGGCTGCACCAACCATAGTGTTTCCAAAAATTACCTGGAGGGGACTCTGGCGCTGTGACCGTTCAGCGACCATGGGAAAAATGGGTAGTTCATGGAATAATGGGTAGTGCATGAAGTACTTGCCGGCGATGAATCGCACTTGTTGCTGTGTTTATTGCTATGTTGTGGTTTTCTTTCGAAAGAAAGAAAGTACCCTTTTGAGCTTCATGACCCGATTTGAAATGAGAAGCCGGAAAGATTACGGTGGTGAAGCGCAACAACTGAACACTTGCTGATTTTTTTATCGCGACATAACTGCTTCAAGCCGCACTAACACACACGGAGTCAGAAGTACGAAGATCGGACAAATCCGTGGACTACCGAACAATCTCATGCTCACTGAAGCACCGTGCGTTGCAGCTTCCACAGACACTAGCGGCAGTGTACACACTAGTGTTTAATTAAAAAACTCGATGGCACCGTGGGCCATACGAGTTTTTCCGACGCAAGTAATTGATTTATCTACTGATGAAAAAGCATCCTATTTAAAACTGGGTGCTGACCTCTGCTTCGACTGTTATACGCCCTTTATTGTACATCTGTACATAGGACGCACTATACATCTTCTTTTAACATTTTTTTTATTTTTGTATTTTTTATTTAATTTGTACATTACTACCTTGATGTTGAAATAGCCTTCTCTAACGTAGCTTACTTTCCCATTTTTTGCTAAATATGAATAGATAAACCTCTTCTTGACTCTTGCATGCACAGAAGTCCATTTGGGAGGGAAACCGAGGTTTTTTTATACAATAGTAAAAATTGTTTGCAGGGAATTAATTTCTCGGAAGAAACAACAAAAAATTTCGTTAAAAATATGTGGTCGTAACCGGAAGTTACCACCATAAAGTAAAAGTATACTAGTCACTTTCGGTAAAACAACATGTTTTAATTTCTATAGACTTTAGCATTAGGTACTCATACAACATGCTTGACTGCAATAAACATATATAACAGCAACAGGAAACGCACACACCCATATCTATAAAATATCTAGGGCCCACCATCTAGTGCGGCTTGAGAATGACGACAACCGGATGAAAGCAAACGTTACATGTCACATTGAAGCCCAAACGAAGTATTGTCATCTTCATCAGGTTACATATACGCTGTTAAAAAAATGACGCGAGGAACTGACGTGTTTTGAGAGGAACACAAAAAGAAGCGTGGTTACCTGGGGTGACCACCCCATCAGGAAGAGTTTAGTAAGCTTGAGATTTTTATCGTGTTAATAATTATTACATAACAGGTGAATCTTGTCAAGTGAAATTAAGGGTGGCATTCTGCAAAAAAAACAACTTTATCAAGGCGCAACCTGAATTTGTGCACCTTATCGCACACCCAACATTGTCTTTCTTTTGTTTTTTCAATCCTGCGTTACTTTCCATTACATATCGTCAAGTCATGAGGAAGTTTTGTTTTACCGCCAACCTGTTTACCTTTATTACGTTTAAAACGCATTGGCGGGCTAGGTGTTGTGCTGCTGTATATTCTAATACTTTAATATGTTTTGTCTGTGTGTATGTGTTTTTGCTTGTATAGTTGTTTTTTATGCGTGCGTACGTCCACATAATACTGTTGCATTCAATTCGTGAAGTCGAAGCGTAAAGGTTCCCTCAGTTTGTTTTTGGCTCTTGCATAAAGAAGAAGGAGAGGAAGGTGTTTATTAAGAAAACGGAGGAGAAGTCGGCATTGAAAACGGATTTCTGGCCTGCAAAATATGATTTCTATCTAATGTGAGTCATAACAAACATTGCTAAATATTCCTGTACAACAGATCAGGCAAAATACAACAATAACTTGAAAAAAAATGAGGAAGACACTTGAGCTTCGCCTTCATGCAGAATGCGATACCGTAAATGGGCTCCGCGCACGTCACCGTCTCAACTGCTAGCCTTGCATCTGTCCTCGTGACAAGCTTAATACAGGCAGTTTGGAAACGAATGACAGTACTCATAACATTGTCTGCTTCAAAGCAGGGTTATGCAATCATACCAGCATCAAAACTGCATTCTAAAATCCACACACGCAGTAGGCCCGATCTTATGGAGCTGACTGTCGCGTCACCTGGGAGCAGCAACACAGAACACAATTAATGCGCTTAATAGTGAGCATGTGGATCAACAGGTGGTGCGACAGTGTGCTTACTGCCGACAGGAGAGAGGAGGGGGCACAGACGTGTCTGATATTTGATGCATGGATCCATGGCGAGTTTTAACTCATATGACTGAATAACTCTGACTTCAAAGTACTCTATAATACCTAGTGCAAGTATACACTGCCCACTATGCTTTAATTCTTCCTTTTATGAGAATCAGCGAAGAGACGCGTAGGTTTCAGCGTTTCCCTATACTTCCTTGAAGGAACACTAAAAAACAAAACAATTTTTCGCCTATCATTAAAGTACAATTTCACAATCTTGAAAAGAGCACTCGTAAGGGTGGTGCACAACAGCGAGTAGGAGCAGTCCCGAAACGATTTGCGACTGGTCGCAAACAGTCGGGAACGGTGGCAAGCGGTCGTTAAGCGACTGCTCTGGCTAGTCACTTCTCGCTCAGTTTTCAGTCGCGTGACTGCAGTCGCAAAACTGGTGGAACCAATAAGCGATGCCCAGA